CGATTCTCGTTCGAAATTTCAAGCGCCGCAATTAAGCGCGACACGCGCTTCCGCTGCCTATATTTCGCGCGTTTTATTGACGTTTGGATTCGCCGGTTCGCATTGTGCGAACTGAATGACGCATTGTGAAGTACGAAAGTCATTCAAATGAATGAAAAATACACGTGAGTTTTATAATTAAATCGTATATTTAAAAAAAAAAATAAAAAAAACGTCAACATTCAACAATAATTAATTAACACGAATCATAGAAGCGTGGAGTTCAAAAAACTAGAACTGAAGAAAGCACGGTGCAATTTCTGAGTCAAAATCTTTAGAATTCCTGATAAACTTTACTTTGAAATAAATTGCAGCAGAGATTACTCGGAAAATGCAGAGAGCAGCTATAGATAAATAACTAGAGGAAACGGAGAGGTGACTCGTATGATAATAAAAAAAAAACCGCGCTAAAAATAGCAGTGAACGCTCGAGTATATGTGCAAACCCACACGCGAGTGTCGATTTCGTTCGTGTTTGCGCATAGAGTATCAAATACGAGCGATCTTAATGCAGGAGTCTCTAAATTTCGACTGAGACTCAGCTTAATTAATTACTTATCATATCGTAGGGCAACTTTCGTTCTTGCAGTCAACACGCGCGAAAAATGACGTAAGACGAGCTGCCGATGAGCTATCGGCGGTTTTTTAAGAGTGGATGTATCAATTACACGCGTGGAGATTGTAACGCGAGGTGTAATTTGATAAACACATGAGAAACACGAGCGAAACTCCTGAGTAAGGTTGTACTGTATTATTTTCGAGTTGAGAGAAGAAAGTAATAAGAAAGAGAAATGTATTATGGCGAAAAATTTCATTAATAGATAAAAAGTCCATGTATTTTGTTGGCGTATTTCTCATCGCGTATTTTGCAAGATATCAACTTATTCACTAATCTCACGGAGCATCTTATCAAGGCAATTATAAAAACGTAACGTTACAATGAATCATTCATCAGCGTTACCGCCCAAATGACGAGAATGATTTCTTACGCCCACTTTGTCCTCAAATAGATTTCGCTACATGATATATAGACCTTTCAGCATCTCAGTTGACATTCACTTGTATAAACAAATTATCATCCGAATAGTTACATCATCTTGAACTCACCGCGATTTCGTAAACATTATGTAAAAAACGATCGAGCTCTTTCGGAGAATTCACGGAGATTTTAATTAATAATTGCATTTTAATTTGAATTAAAAAAATATTATTTTAAGCAAATATTGCGTGTTAAACGAAAATTATAATATCGAAAAGTAATGTGAATTTCGATGAAATCCCTGTCGAACGTACCTGATGGTTCAAATCCCGCAGCAAAGTTACGAACCGATCTCGATAGTCCATTAAACTGTCACTCGAACCGTTGTACATTTCTCTCGAAGGGCTCAAAAACTCGTATCGGCCGCACGCTCGACCATTACCGGCGAACATTTAGCGACTTAATGGTTACCAACTAAACGACATCCCTTCGTCGATCTTTGCAACACGGTTACGAACATGTTGCATACATGGCGTGAAAGTTTTTTCCCTTATCCGCAAGTGAACCGAGCTCCGTGATGCTTCGACAAGCAGAAAGTATCGTTGGAAATGTAGAGAAAATGTCGAAGTCAATTTTCATTTAAAATCAAAATTTTTATTAACTAGAATTTAATTTTGAATATTAGAAGTCGAAGAAAAAAATATTTGGAGCAATCTCTATTACGCAAGCTGATCAAAGTTTTGCAAATTCTTGTTCAATTCAATTACACCCGCAATGTCGAGCATCGTTCTCTAAGGTTCGATAAAAGAAATAAATAAACGGTAGCAGACTCAATTCGGCAAGAATACCGAGGACGTAGGAGTACCTCAATCGACAACAATAATACATCATAAACTCGATTGCTCTCGATCGCTTACGATGCAGATTGGGCAATTTAAAGGTCGCAACGGCGAACTCCCAGCCGTGTATCCTTTGCCAAAGGAGAATCTCGAAATATCCCCCCAATATATCCTAGTGCAACATTCTTTCGCGAAGACGTAGTTATAAAAGATTCAATCGCGGCGATGAACAAATGACGAAAGCCGATCTAACAATAACGACGTCGCGACAGAAATGAATTAAATTTCGAACAACTAATTGTAGCGACAAAAAGTGCGGTGTCTAAATTTATAACCGAGGAGGTCATCGCGGGTATTCGAGTGTTAAAGGTTGGACACGGCGTATGACCGCCGTCCAATCGGGCGAATGAGAATCCCTGGTTGCACGCACGCACGCACGCACACAAGGCAGCGAGTTTGTCACTCGACACACCCCGAACACCGCCACTTCGCATCATACAAAATTAGAACCGAGAGAGACTTAATCTAATACAAACAAAAGGGGAACAAAAATAAAAATACATAACAATGTGCAATTCGTAAGAAAGAGATGTCCGCGTTATATGCCCCCTCTTTCTTTCTAATTAGTTAAATGTCAGATTGTGCGTCTTATAAATGCAGAATTCTGTCACTTGTTTCACTCTTTACGACAGATCTCGTTATGTATTTCTGTCGTTGTACTTTATTCTTCGATTCTTGCACTTAATGCACTCGTAGATCCAAAATATCATTAAAATCAACATATCTACATGCAGGAAATAAAAATTAAACGAAGGCTCACTATGCAAATGTTACAAACATCCTGCTTCGTTCTCCGTCAGCTTCTTCACAAAATTACGCGTTGCGCAATACGTAAGGAAAAAGCGATGTGCGTAAATACGTTAATTAACGCGGCCGGTCACGTCTCGCCGCGGAGCTGCGTTAATTTGCCGTTTAGAACGTGTTCAATTTCATTGTTCAGTTCTTAATTATTCTATTCAATACCAACAATTACGCATATGCTTCCACAAATCGACCCTTTAATGAATCACCCTTTCAATAAATTATTTATACCGTACGTGTTGATTCACGGCGAGCATTAAGTTCTAAACATGACAACGCGACATTGATCTCTCGCACGCATTGGAGAACGGTGGAGAGGGGGGAGGGGGGTGTATAAGCAGATAACTAAATCTTCCGAGTAAACAACTGCATCGTGCTTAATGCAGCACTCTATCGTATCAGAATTGTACTCGCAGCGCGCCTTTAAATCTCCAAACAGCATTGTGTAATATATTCCAATCTCCGTTTACTTCGAATAAGTACGAAAATTCGTGTTAAACATTTTCAGAATAAAAACGACCGATTTCATATTCTTTTGTGAGTCCGAAAGAAAGAAGGCCAGCTGTACAGTTACATATAAAGTAAAGTATTATTTTTATCTGAGTCGTAGAAAAGGGCGCCGTAAACTGAGTTATTTCCTTCCGAGTCGTAAAAGGAGGCACCGTAAAGATGGATTACTTTTGCCCTTAGGATATTGTTATCGCGGAGAGATTTAATAAACGCGTCAAATTACCGCCGTTTACTCGCTGATACTTCAAGCGAATGATTTATGAGAGATAAAAACTTCCGTCAACGTTGAAATTTAAGGTTACGTTTTCACGCGCCACCTTGTATTATCACTGCCACTCTGGCCGTTCTCGTTACGGGGGCAGAAATGCGAAATAAGGGCGGCCGCGTTCTCACGTGCGAACGCGAAAAGCGACGTTTTACGGAGCGCGCTGAAGGCGGCGGCTGATCAATCGTCTCCTTTCTCCATTTATGGACCGCGCGCGTCATATGTACTCGCGACGAAAAGACTCGCGATCGTAATCAACGGTTGACATTAAGGACCACCTGCGCCGAACTTGGTCGATTAACTCGCACTTCTCGATCTTTCTTTAAATTGCAATGTAGCCCGGAAAGGGCGCGCGAAACAGCAGATGTACTGGTGTCGATATCAACAGAAACTAGTAATAACAAGCGCTCTGTCTCATTCTGGTCAATGGCAAAAAATTACAAACGTTACATTTATTGATAAAGGTCACTTTCTTAAAAGTAACAAATAATATTCTTCGATAATAAAACATACAAACTTTTTATAAATATCATCCATTGTTCTTTTGTTCCCGATTAATTTTTATTGATACCAAAACAGCGCTGTTTTGTACGTTACTGTGTATAGATAGAGAAATAAGATCGAAGTTATAATAAATACAATGGAATGCTTTGTTTTCACCGAAATTCCAATATTTAATAATCTAAAAAATAAATACGTACGAAATAAATATTTGTTAATGCATACCAATGCTCATAATCGTAAATAAGCAACTTCAAGATCATCCGCAAAAATTTTGCAAGTTAAGGTTAAGTGCTCTCGGAATGATTCGACGTCAGCGCGGGCGGCCTAAAATCGTCGTCGTTGGAACAGAAATGCGCTTACCTTGGGATTGCCGTTGCCAAGCCACGGTATAATGTTGTCGATGAACATGCCGATATCCTGGCACTCGATGCTCTTGTCCGAATCGCCGAGGTAATTCAGTAGCGCAGTACCGACGTTCAGCTTCTTCTTGATATCCGTCGTTGACAGGAGCGGCATAAAGCCGTCCATATCACGCGGATTCACCGCCATAGCGAGTGAGATGCTAAACGTCGCACGTCCCCGTCACCGTGCTCGTCGTCGTAGTGGCCGTGTATCGTCGTCTTCGTCCTCGCTGCCGGCAGGCGATCTTCCGTCGAAACGGAACAAGGACGATAACGTAGAGAGGGCTCACTCAATACACGTCAACACACATTACTCCACCGTCGCGGCTAAGTTCACGATGCTTACACGCGGAAACGAGAATTTCGCGTCCTTCGTCATGCCAGCGGGACGAACTCGCACTCGCACGAACGCGGATTTACACAGAGTTGCCGGTGCGATACTGTCCGCGCGATTCAATTATCGTCAGAGTAGTCACTGCAACCGCCGTCGCCGCCGTCGCCGCCGCCGCTCGCTGTAACGTCCGTACGTGCGGCGCGACTGCCACGGGCGTTTGTTTCTCGCCGTGCGAGCGATCCTCGAGTCGCAAGTATTACACACCAAACGCGTGGACGAACGCCGTTACCAACATTCGCCGTTTCTCGCACCTCCGTAAACCGTATTTACTCGATCACGAATACGGCGAAATGAGATCACATCGGCACCATGCACGCGACGCCATTTTCGTTTCACGATCGCCGCTCTCGCCGTCTTTCGCGCCGCGCCTGCGTCGCCGATTACAGCGCCGCGAACGGCAGTTTGTTGCAACTACCTCTTCGTAAAGGTACATTCAAATGAATCTGCATAACGTATAAGCACATGCATCTGTATGAGTTTGTCTGAATATACTCTAAGTACGTTTGAATCGCGCGCGCCGTTTAATAATTTATTTCGTTCTCCGGTACAAATGCGATTTTGCGGAATAAAGTGTACTTGTTCCTCGTTTTTTACGGCATCGCGGGAAGAAACGTGTTGTAAGAAGATATTCCTTCGATTTGGACGGCGTCACGATGACCCATATTGTCCAACCGATAATTTGAATTTGAATGGACGAGGTAAGTCAAGAAACATAATACATTTGATGAGATGTTGGTTAGATAAGAGATAAAAACTGCAAAAATGCAGCGATTATTATTTGTGAAGGAGAATGATTACGAATGTGAGAAGCGCAGATTGCATATCGCAGAATTTGAATTCGAACAGGTGAATCGCATGCCTTTACACACGCGTCCTGCGTATATTTTTGTAATGAGGTTTTAATGAGGATAATGATATATACATAGTTACATTCACATATACAATATTAGGTATGTACAATATAATTTATTACAGCTATTATTATGCCCTCGCTTGCAGCGCTATATTATTGTTGTCCGACATACAGGACGAAAATATTTCTTGCAGCGCGAGTCACGATAACATTGTGATTATGTGGAATTTCGACGAATAATTTTAGAAAGCCTGTAGGATTTCGCGAACGAAAAGAATCGCCAGAAAATCCTACTCGATAGTTTAGATTTATATGGAACGATATATTACAGTATAAGAATGTGAGCGATGGCGTCGAAGTCCTTCTCCCGTGAAAAATAATTCATTAAAATCGATGGAATCGACTGGATTAGAATAACATTTCGCATTTCTCGATCGACTTTTTTTACAGCATTCTTGAGCAGTAACAAACAATTCAAATCAGTGAATTACACTCTCTGTCGCGTTTTGTACATATTGTAGATATTTAGACTCGTGTTCGGGTTTTGCATTTAGAATTGCTAAATGTAAAATACAAACACGGATCTTAGAGTGGAATTATATTAGAGAAGAGTGGCAATAACGGATTCTGTGTAATACACAGTACTTTCAGGAATGTGATATTTTTTGATAATTTCGATATTTATTTCACATTTGTAATGGACTTTTCAATGAAGCTATATTGCACATATAGATTTTTCGACGTGTCGCGATATAATGACATAAAATAATCTTGGTCGAAAAATATCATTGCCACTATTCTTATAAAAATTGACAAACGCTGTTTGAAAAAATGTCAATTAATATCGGTTACAGAAAGTTACGCTCAAAATAAATAGGATCTGTATATATATGTGTATATAACTTATATTTTATGTATATATGTATATATTACTCTTTATAAATAGCATATTGCATGCGTATTTTGCACTAATACCGTCGTTTGACAATTGGACAATCCAACTGAACGTCTAAAATCACTAACAGCTATATCACAATACGTGGCAATAAAAATGATGGAGCTAGTACTTAACTTTTACTTTGTCCCGAGTGCCTGAATTCGAGTAACGCGTCTCTGATCTATTATTATCACGATCGAGTATCACTGTCCAGACTATCCTGCTTACAATAATTTGTATATTCGCGAATCACACTCCTCGCTTATCTGACACGATCGACAGCCGTAAGGTACTTAATTGGATAGACACACGTAGTCCCTATTGCGTCGCAGCGAAAAATATTGAAAAATATGTTGCTGAACCTGACGGGTTGAACACTATCACTCACTTATTTACGTCACGAAGCTTTGTATATGAAACAGCATGCCTGTCGAAGCTGCACGATTCTCGATCTGTATTCAAAACATGCTGTCACCGATCATAGATACAGCTTGCCTTCGCGTTCGTAACAAATTAACGAGTAATCGAACTCAAGATGATCACGCAGTCGGAGAGTAGTACTTTTGATGTTAACAGTACATTTTGTACACAGATCTACATACGTTTAGAATTATATTACGCTATGCTTATATATACAATTCGTTCCGCGTTTTAGAGAATCTGACTGTTGAAGTCGTAATTGGCATCTTGTAACTTTCTATAGGATTTTTTTTTTCTTGCTCTATATTTCACGCTTTGCGGATGACTTAGTGGACCGAACAATCGCGTTGTGATGAGAGAGACAAGGGAGTGCTTATCGTAACCGATTATCTTTAAACGTAGAGTAAAAGTAAACTTTGTTACGGTTCACCTTAATTTATCTAGATCGTTTGATATCTCGCTGCGGTAACATGATATTCTAATATATTTGTTAGACGCTCCGAGAAAGAGCTTCAACGTGATAGCAGTCGCATGTAAAGGCAAGCAAAAAATAGTCGACGTAACTCGGAATAGATTCGTGTACGATTATCTAGATTGGACTATACGATTTTCTAGAAGTAAACTACATATTGCTTTCTTAGCGAATGATATTTCACAAGTTTTTACCAAATGTTAAATATTAGAAAGATTTTATAGAACAAGTTCGAAAATGTCCCCCACGTGTAAGCGTATCCACAAAAAGACATTGTTAGGCTTTTTAGTATCCGAAGAACTAACAAGACACTTTCAATGCAAGTACGGAATTAACTAAAAGCCACAAGCCTCATTATATCCCCTCTACAATGAATACATATAGATATTATTCTTACTAACCGATATACAATAACTTGACGATACCGAGTATACATAAAACCCATGAAAAATATTGTTGCAATAGCAATCTAACAGTTGCTCCATCTTATATCACATGATAAAAAAATCTACAGTTATAACGATAGATAGAAACAGAATATATAGTAGTGTGTTTGGTACCTTAACGGAAAGGGTGTGCCTTAATTACGTTACCGTCTTATAATGATCTTGAACACTTTCTATTGTTGAATCTTTGCCACTCGGTCGCGCAAGTCCCACCGCGATAAGGCTATTGTTGTTGTGTCTGCAATTGTTGTAACAGTGGACACACTTCAACCAAGGGAGTTCCCAGGATCTCTTGGCATACTTGATTCATGTCCGGTTCCATCATGAGCGAAGAGATTTAATCCTCCGTTAACATCTCCACGCTAATCGCGAATTTGTGATTAATAACGAATCAATAAATCATAAGCCGAAAGTATTAATGAAAACTTACCTAGCTAAACTTTCGCTGTCCGACGTCTCCTCGTCGGCATTGAGATAGCTCATGGTTTTTTCTAAGGGACTAGGGACCTTCTTTCCTTTAATTTCGACTTTCTCGGACTTTTCAGACTTGTCCTTGTCTCTCTCCGCTGTCTTTGGTTCGCTGGAACGTCGTTCCGTCAAGCTGGATATGTTTAGCATCATTATACCGTGATTGAGTAACTCTTTGACGCGCTCTCCGGTGCCGCCGCTCCACAGCATATCGAGAGATTGTCTTCTGCTTGAATTCGCTGAAATGGGTAATAGATTTGTATAAATCCGATCGCGCATAAAGTTAATATATAAAATTCTTCCAAGACACATCTCTTCACTTACTGGAACTGCCAGCACTAGCCTCGTCACTGACCGAACTCCTGGTTATCCAATTGGTTAAGCTGCCGTCGAGCTTGCCTTTATGTTTCACCGACGGACTCCTCGTGACCTCGGCCTTTTTCTCTTCGCTTAAACTAACTTCATTTACTTTCGACATCGTAGGCAAAGACTTCTGCGTGACTAATTTCTTTCGGTTTGACTGCTCTTCCTTTGACGGCTCGACGGTTGCGGCAACTGACTGCGCAATTTCCGGACTTAGATCCATCGGTAGTGGCTTGTAAGGAATTTGATCCTCTTCGTCGGAATACACGTCATTGTTGTAATAAATTTCATCCGGCGAATTGTTCAGGCTAATTTCCGTCCACTCCTCTCCGTTCTGCGTCGTAGTATTTTTCTTGTTGTCGTTCATGGGTGTCTGAATTTTCACTCTCTTCTCGACCGGAGAGATGATGCCCGACAGGTCCGTCAGGCCTGGTGCTGAAGAACTCGTGTGGTTTAGAGATACGATATGTTTCGAATCGGTCGCCGCGATACTTCGTGGACGGTCTCGTTTTATGTATTTGCGCGGTTCGGTGGATGAAAGGTTGAGATTGTTTAGGCCCAGGTACTCCGACGACGAATCTCTCTCGATCTGCAAAAGGGCGTGTTTATGAATCAGCAAAGTGAGAAATGAGCATGAATCGAAGTCGGAAGTGTACACTCACTCTTGTAGGCATAGGACACGGCACATTCGGACTCATTTTGTCGGGAAGGCGTAAATACTCGTCGCTAGTGTAATCCGTGCTGTCCGGAGATCCAGTTACACTGGAATCCGTCGGAGTGGCCGTGTTGGTTTGCGTGGTGGAGCGATCAGGCGCGTCGCGCGTACACTTGTCATACTCATCCGTTCCGTCGTATCGTCTCGTCTAATAAAAGTATGAAAATTTTACGCACAGCTCGCATTACGTTTAATGACAGAGGCACGTATGCATATTTATTTCTACCCTGTGAATCTCGTCGCTGATCTTTTCCAGATTTCGTAACGCTGCCGCGTATGATGCTTTCGCTTCGCCAACTGATGTCTCCAACGCGCTGACCTTCATCTTTTGCTCCTCCAGCATTTGATTAAAGTGCGCCTTCGTTTCATAGTAAGGCCTATGATTTAATCAATTGATTACGCGATGTTTTATTATTACGGATGAGCTATGCGGAAATTGTATGCATTTTATATTCATCATTTGTACTTTTACGCATGACAAAATTTAAATCATTTATTACGTAGTAATTTCGTCGGAGGAAGCAACTTGTTTAGAATCTTGTGTGCGAGTGAAATTATTGTGAGAAGTTCAATCAAAAAGATAACATGTTTCAAAATAAATCTCATAAATATATGATTCATGCACAATCGGGATAGCAATTTGAAAAATAAATAAATAAATAGTTGGTTTCGATAGCACACAGAGAAAAATAAATATCCCCTATATTACGGAAAAAAATAAAAAAGAATATCTATTCTACTTACAACATGAGCAAGTTGTGCCTGTAGGCGATACTGTTTATCAGAAGCAAGCTGCGGCGTGCACCCATACTGCCAACACGAACATATAACCAAAAACACATAAATACTATAAGAGGTCTATAGAAAATAACATAATAATCATTCAACAGTAGCCTGATGATTATTCGAATCAGGGTAAAATATATCGATAGGAAAACTATAGCTGTAGGAAAAAAATAATAACAGGTTTCATATATGGACAGTTGTCGTGTTTCAATACATTAACTTGGTCGTATACAAGGTATCTAGCTTTGAGAAGTGATTCGTATAAGATGAATATATGCAATAATTTCATGCATTGAAAGAACGATCAGGAGAAAAGGAATATCGAACCCAATTAACGAGGAGGTTGAAGCGCACTTACGTACCTAGATTTGGCGATAGTACGCTTTAATTCGCGCTGCAATTTTTGAACTTCGTGTTCCGTTTTGTGATATACTGCAGTTGTATGCCTGTGTTCTGCTTCGGAAAGAGCTCTCTCGTGCTCTGATTCATTGACTCGTGATGTGGCATGATTCAACATTTCCTACAATACACATTTTATTACACAGTGCATATAATTTTTATCGAAATCTACCAATAAGTTTTACCTGCCAAGCGTGATCAAAGCATCTTCCTTCAGTCCGTAATCCTTCTTCTGCTAAGTAAACCATTTCTTTAGCTGCTGCATGTTGACTATTAGCTCTCTCAAATCTAATTGCAGCTTTTTGCGTTTCTTGTAACGCCTGTAAAATAAAATACTCTTGAAGTTATATCTGTATTTAATTAAGATCACAATGGTTATTCAGTTATCAAGGTTTTTACTTCTTTCGCCTTAAACCTAGCATCATAATATGGTCTAGACTTTTCAATGCAGGCTCCAAGTTTCTTAGCTAAAGTGTCAATCTTGATTGTTGATTCGCACAATAATTCTCTAAAGGTTGCTCTTGCTTCCTAAAAATGATAGAACAAAAAATTAATCACATGGAAGTAATAAATATGTAGCATGTATAACATTATGATTTCTTATAGACTACAATCTCAAGTTATAAATTATTTCTTTAGTTGAAGCTATCATGGTCTGCTGCTATTAAGATCATCTTGTCATCATCCATTTGCATATATCTTACACAGCAATCATCTCAATAAAATCTAATCGCAACCAAGTTCAAAACTTGCCAGCAATTTTGTTCTTTAAGCATGATTCATATATCACAATAGAAAATCTAGACAGTGGAAGATTTTTGCAAGATTGTGCTTTGACAAAAAAATGATACTTACATCTAAATCAACTTCTAGTTTATTAATGTCATCGGTAGCTGTGTTTAATCTTTCAAGTTCAATCTGAAACAATATTATATTTTATACAGATAAGCTGCATATTATTTTTTTTATTAATTATTAATTACTAACACTATATTACATGTATGCAGAAATGTTTTTCAACATATAGCAAATTTCTAATGAAACAAACAATTTGTGTCTCTTTCTATTATAGATTTTTGCATACGAATCAAACAAGCCTCGTGCATTGTACTCCAATTTCTTGCGTCGAAATAAAGTTACCGGGCAACGAGGATAATTTAGCACGCGCTGTCGTCGTAATAGGCACATCGGGCAGGGCGGGAGGAGGGAAAATAAGAATTGGGGACGTCTGTGACTCGTGTAGATGTGTAAGTGGGTGGAGGGGACGAAATAAGAGATGCATGCAAAAATGCCACTGCATATGAAATTGGCGAAAAATTCGTCATTCAAGCGTGTGGCAAAGCGCGACGTGATTATCCCGGTTTATTCACACACGATTAATCGCCTTTGACCTTTTTCGCAAAACAGCGAAATGTCAATATCGCGAGCAGCCGCGTCGCGGGACCCCCGGGCGATGCACATGCGACAGCTCTCACCTGAACTCGCGGGTCCACTGCATCGTCGACACGATCGGAATCATCGGCACTCTCTTTCTGCACACGTCCACTCATAATTAAATCTAGAGAGGTGGATTTTATTTACAGCTTTTCATACCACCTGTGTGTATCGTCTGCTACATATCAGGTGGCCATGTTGGATGTCAAAGTGTGTAATCACGACGGGCAGGGCCGTCGTTACTTTGCGGGGGCGTGTTGCGCGACGCTCCTTTTTTTCCGAGAATTTTCCTTAGCTGGCAGAATGTCATCTAAGGCGTGTAATGATGGAGCTGAATGCAGATCCGTTGTAAAGATGGAATATCACAGTTGCGTCATCACGCAAATTATCACATTTGTAATTATATTTTTTATAATTATATTATATTTTTGTCTCTTTACTGATTTCAGAGGAACATAACTGAATAATAAAATTCTTTTGCTTATTCGGCGGATAGTATTTCTCAATCTGAATCAAAATATTCTGTGCAGATTTCTTGATCGTTGAGTTGAATTCAATTTTCCCGCTATCGAGATAAAACAATAGCGTCGATATGCACAGTTCAAGATGGAGGGTGCGAGGAGCGCATCGTCAGATGGCATTGCTCGTTGCCAGATGACTTCACACGCCGTTAGATAGCGTCGTGCACGCCGGTCCCGCCTGAATTCTCAAACGTACTTTTCCTCATTCGCACTGGTGAGTTGTGTCGAGTCGTGTGCCTGGAGTCGGAGCAGGTGGATTACGTTCTTCGGGGAAAGCGACGTCTGTCCAACTGACGAACGTCAATCAGCGGGCAGCATAATAATCGGTCGCAGCCGGTAAGTGAAAACTCCACATTGCACTCACGTTGTGTCGCGCGCTTTCGAGTTTCCCCCGAAAAAAAGAGAGAGAGAGAGAGAGAAAGACAAACCACGGCGATGAAAATTGCGATCAAATTGCGCCTTTGAATTTTTTTCACGAACGCTGCGACAATGCCCGTCCATTCTTTTCCGAACAAGAAGGGAAAATATCTTTCGGGGCAATAACGCGCGCGACTTAGACTTTCTATTTGGACATTTTTACGAGCGAGCAAGAATGATAGAAGGACACACGGCTAACGGAGGAGAGAACGCGCAAAGGTCGCACGAATCGCGGCGTGCCACCTTCCCTCGCTCGCCTCCCGTCGTTTCCCGTGGAAGGGTAACAACGGTGTGTGCGGCACTCTGCGATCGCATCGCGTGCGCCTGTCCCTGCGATCCGGTCGCGGTGTCACTCCTCCGCGTGCGACACCGAAATCGGGCTCCGTCTTCTTCGCGCTCATCCCGGAGAAACCGGTACGATCCCGAACGAGGTTTGATCCACTTAGCGCGCCGCGTCGCTTCTCGCGCGACATCAAAACAAAGCAGTCTCCTCGCGTTTGATTCAAGGAACGAAAGTGTTACGACCTCGATGAGCGCGATCGTCCACGCGGTGGACACGGCAAAGTTTCTCGTCGCTCTTATATAAAGGTGAAGAGCACCTCGCAACGAAATGCGAATACTCGTAATTACACGCCGGTTTCAATTTCTCCTCATTTACCCTCGTGTTTATTTACTCGTCTTAATGACGCTTCACTGTCGTTCCATTCGTGTTTTGGTTTGCACGCGGGAAACGCGTGCGATTCGGAAAGTTGTAGAACAGTTCCCGGCGGAGAGTCGAAGGCACGCCATCGGCGTGTCGTCGTCGATTGACCGATGACAATAAGGGCCGTGACGTGATACGCAATTGTAAACAATGTAAATGGCCTCGTGCAAGCAGGTTGAATTTCTGACGTTGGCGTCAAGGACACCGCGAAAACAATCGTGCTCGCGTATGCCTCGAAATGTCACGGTAGCACTTTTACCGTACGAATCCGACACTAGACGTGATCATTTTTATGCGTGATTCTCCTTCGTTCAATCGGATGACGAAATTTTATCACCGGTCCCGCTATGCGATCAACTGACAAACATGTTTCGTTGTTTGGGACATTTCGTGCGCTTCCTGATATTATTTCCAATATTATTATTAGTGTTATTATTACCACGTAGCGTAATTCCTTCTTGAACGTTGAAAAGGTTAATGCCGCCGGCCGTGCAGATAACTTTTCATATCGTACGAACACCCACTCGTTGGCTCTGTGCGCGACTCGCGTTTGTATCCTTAAATGTAAAGTTGTTTGAAATTACGGCACATAATGTACGAGGAGTAACGGTATTGCGACCATTTATTAAACGATCGATTCAAAATCGTCGATCTACAGTTGATTGAATTCACATAAACAATCTATAATTGGCGACAAAACTCGAAGTAGAATTTTATTTATAATTTCATGTGTAATGCAAGAAATATTTTAAAATTCAAAACGCACACACGTATAAAATAAATATAGATTTTAATGATATGCATTTTATATGTTTGTCCCGATTCTTGAAATCTGAAATTCTTGAATTTTCTGTTACGTAAAATTATAAATGAATTTCGTCTCGACTTCTCTCGCAAATTATTCAAACTTTATGTTTGAAATATTCGCAATTTAAATTGAAAACTTGTGTATCAGATGCAACATATAACTGTTGTATGTTTTTCTGTTGTGTTTCTCTGACCTTTTAAATCATACGTTTTTTATCGTACAAAACACTGTGATTTAAATTGAGTGGATTTATTAATACGTATTTTAAATATAATGAATATATTGAAAGCCGGGATTTCTAATTTTTTTTTTTATATTTTCATAAAGCGTCATGTAGACGTTGTATGTAAATGAAAGGTATGAAATTGCGTCGGACGTCATAAATCTCTTCCCCTTCGTACAAATCGGACATCGTTCTGCAATAATAACGGAATTATTCGAATTACGGTATTTGCGTGTCTCGCGTTTTAATCGGCCGCTAATCACCGGCGTGCGAGTCGTCTTCTGTCAAAATGATTGATTAATCCGAAGCTGTTTTCAATCAGACTTTTAATTAGATATTAATCCGTCGCCTGGCGTGTGTGTGAAAATTGCACGACACTCTCGGTGCGTATTGCGTACAATCGCAAATCCGGCGATCGTTCCTTCGCGTGTCTGCATGCGCGCAACTGGTTGCCGGTCGATTCGCGGACTGACGAGAGCCGGTTTAAAGGCTCGGCGAATAGACTTTTAAAGAGTCACCCGGTGCACATCGCGCGGCGGAAGACACATTGAAAGAGAGAAAGAGAGAGAGAGAGAGGAGCAGCCGGTGCGTGCGATGCTCGGAGGTAGGCAGACGAGCAGGCTCAAACCTGCCATTCCGACAGGACTTGATGGCGTCATGTCACGGCAACACGCTTCGCCGCGAGTCATTCTGCGCCGTTTTCTCGTCATTACGTGTCTTATCACTTTTCCCAAATAATCAGAATACAAATGTCAAACGCGCGCGTGTAAGAATTCCAGTTTCGAGCCGAACTCGAGCTTACGTAAACGCGTTCGCGTTAAGTGATTTTAAAAATACAAAAGTGAAAGACAAGGTTTCCTTGAAAAGACGAAGCGATGAAACCGACCGATATCTCAGAAAAGGCTAAACGATGTGAGATAAGATAGATCTATAATGCAAAACAAATCTTGATTTAAATATTTGAAAAAAACTTTTCCATGAACAACGATCACATTTTCGTGACGTGTTATATAAATTGCGGAATCACAAGCGGTCTGCCGGATTTTTGTTTTTTTGCACACTCGACATCGGATAGAATAGATACTGATAGCCATCTCGGAACCGAACTTACGTAAAGAATCCGCAAATGCGCGCATCTCCTATAACGGATGGCACAGATATGAGTGCGCTCGAGCCACCGGGTATAACCGAAGGTAGCAATCTATTAAAAAAAAAAAAGGAGACCGCGGAAACGCCGGTCGTCAGACGGAGGTAATTTGCTTTCTAGATGGCGAAATAATTTGCATTTTAAGCGTTATCGCGACGCAGGATACCGCGGAGACGGCTGGGCGGGTAGCGTCGTTTACCTTCGGCTTCCGGATGCGCTTTAATGACGCGCGTATCAGAACGCAGCAGAAGAGTTCGCCTAGTTGCGACACTGCGAGGGCAGCGGCAATGCCGCAAAGGAACGGTTGTCGACTGTTGTTTTCATTTCGCTTTGTCTCCGTATTCCGCTGCCTACACGAGCCACTGCGAAATGTCATTAGCCCTGAACGAGTGACACGGAACGTGACCGACACCACCGACTGCCGACTGGTTTTTAAACGCGACATAAAATCACTTGTATTGTATTTTTTGTTCGTGAAAAAAATATTTTTCGATTTATTTAAATTCAAGCATATTTTAACCCTTAATCCCGACTCATGGGTCGTTTTCAACCCAAGCAAAATTTCAAAGTGCTGTAATTTTTGAAAACGGGTACGGAATGCGCCATATTCCGTACCTAAAAAAAGTTATGCCCCCCGAGGACCCGCCTACGGAATAGCAGCGCGCCAGTCCCCCTCAGGTCGTCACAGCGAGCATAACAATCTCACCGTGGACGCAAACGACCCATGAGTCGGGATTACGTTGCCCAAATCAGCAGGTAAATTTTTTCTCTACTTTTCGTTTTTATGCGTTCAATATCATCAAAAAATCGTAAAAAAAAGGTCTGCATACGCAAAAAAGAAATTAAAAAATTTTAATGTAGTTTTGAAAATGGCATCGAGAACGTCAGAAGAAGTTCAGAATATTCTGCGGCCTCGGGATATCGTATCGCAAACGTATCATTACACACTAAAACATTGTTCTGTTATTAATTTTTACCCACTTTACAACAAATTTATTCATTAAAATCATTTTTACACGCGATTTTAGTCATTTTTACAAGCAATTTTAGTACCCAAATTTTCGCCATTTTGAGGTTCAAAAATTAAGCATTTTTTTTAATACAATTTTTTGTACTATTTTTTTTATGAAAGGTGTTCCTCCTACCTTTAATTTCTTTTTTTATTTTTGTCGATATCTTCATTTGGCTTAAAGTTATGATTTTTTAAGTGAACAAGTGATTTTTCCTTACGTACCTCCATTTCTTAATAACAAACTATATAAAAAAATAATTTTTATCGAAATATTATGATTGGGACTTCAAGTTGAAGGTTGAAAGAAGCTCCATGAATTTTTTCAGATTTTTTAAAGCGTTTTTACTGATCCAAATAACGCAAAGACGCAAACGACCCATGAGTCGGGATTAAAGGTGCCGAAAAGAACAGTCGGGATTAAGGGTTAATTAATGAGATGAGCGTTTTGCACTCCTTTTCGCAGTTAAATCTATCAATTTGTTCCAACGAAATATTTCGACATTTTACCTGCCGATGCGAACAAAAAACGCCTTCTTTTTGTGAGACGACTCGCACCTGTTGGATCTCGCAGAAAACCTGGTACCTGCTTTGTTCAAGATAGATGTGGGCACAATTCCTTCCTCACATTCGACGTAAAATTCTTTCGCGTTAATAATCCTCGATAATTATACTCGCAAAATTAATCGCGTTTTTATTCATTCTTGCGCATAATTTTATATAACGTCTTAAGAAAGTTTTCGCATTTGTATGTTAATTACTTGCATTAGCAGGCAATGCTGAAACGTTCGTCGTACC